TGCTTCTCCCCCTGCTTGTATTCTCTCTCTGTCAAATAAATAAATAAAATCTTAAAAAAAAAAAGAGAAAACACAAAAAGTTTAAACTTTGTACATTTACTTGACTGCAAAAAGTACTTTTTAGCATTAAAATTCTTGAAGAAATGCTTCTACAATTTTAATTTTTCTTCCAAAAATGTAAATTTCCCAGGTGAAAATATCCCAGGAAGATAGGCCCCTCCCCCAAATTTCCTTTGTTTCTGAGGAACTTTTGTCACTTTCCACAATACTTGTACTTTATATACAATTGAAAATTACTATTAATCATGATAACATTTAACAAATTTATTTTAAGGTCATTAAGTGATATTTGTTAGCAGACATCTGCACTCAAACAAATGACAATTTCTCAACATACATGAGTCAAAAAAATAAAAGTAATTAGTTTTTGGTTCATGGAAAGTAGAAGATTAAATTACAGTTAGGTTTTTAAGAAGGTTAAAGCATGTCTCTAGATTTTAGACATCTAGGTAATACAGGAATAGCAATGTTGAAGTAAAGACATTTGATATAAATTAAACATAAAGATAATTTGACAAGAAAATAAACTTGAATTATAGTTTGCCACTCTTTTGATTGGGGATATTTATCATAATCTTTTCAAGTAAATAAGAAATAAATCTCATACCCTACGAATTTTGTCAGTTTTTAATTTTTCTTATCAATTTCACTTCTAATTTATGTATCAGTAGTAAGTAGCTTAGTTAGCAATTGGAACAGATATTTCTCAATTGGAGTGTCCTCAATTTGGATTTTGACCAGAACTAAGGCCCATGTTCGGCTTGAGTGAAGACAGTACTTTCCAAAAGCTTTATCTTCATGGCCTGTTCTGGGACAATATCAAAGTGCTAGAATTCAAAGAAGATTTCTTGTACAACAATTTTCTTTAGTTAATATTATGAAAAAAAATTGTTCGAAATACAAAGACTATCATTAGTGGTACAATACACTTGTTTTTTGAGGTAAAATAGAAGAATTCAAATAAGTGAACACATATAATTTATCAGGAAGTAAAGGAGTTTGTTTTATGCCAGGAGAGAGGTTAAAGTCATACACTTTGGTGACTAACAGAGCTGGTCCAAACTCTAGCTCCGCCATTTGCTGTGTCACCTTGATGCCACCGAGTCCTCGGTACTTCAGCTTCCTCTTTCAGTGGTCACAGGCGATAGCTCATAGCATTCTGGTGAGGAGAAAGGGAGGACATATTTGCAAACACTTTAATGTAGAGCCCGGCATAGGGTACGTGCCTACTATATATTATTCTACAACATGTGTATTATGAAATAATGTATGTTAATATATATAATTATACATTATGCAACTCATGCATATATTACAGACATATGAGCTCTAAAAATAGCTTCTGGGGACCACCACTTCCAGCGCCCGGACGGGCATTGACGTGGTCAGAATACAGGTGTGTAGCTGTGCAGTTGTTACCTTATTCACCGCCCGAGTCGTCAGTTACTTCTACAAAACTCGCAGATATTTACAAACAGTTTGAGCTTCCTCCACCGTCTCAGAATGCTGTGGACAGAATGTTTGTGCCCCCGCCCCCAAAATGCTTAAATTGAAATACCCCCAAGGTGAAGGGGTTAGGAGGCGGGGCCTCTGGGAGGTGATTACGTCATGAGGGTGGAGCCCTCATGGGTGAGGTTAATGTGCTTATAAAAGGAAGCGCAGAGAGCTTGCTCATCCTCTTTCTTCCGTGTGAGGATATAGAGAGGGTGGCTGTCTTCATTTTCCAAAGTGTTGACACGTACAAACTCCCTAGCCCTTGATTCAGGGTTCTTACTAATGACGTCTCCATATAATGTGGCACATTATAACTCTCTCCTTAGGCGGACCTTCTAATCTAACTGGACTGGTATGTTTATGTTTTCATAGTCTCAGCCCAGATTTGCTTTTCGTTACAACTTTATACATTCTGCTCCCTTCACTTAGAATTTCTTCTTACATGTGATCATTCCTTATGTGTATGGACCCTTTCTTCTATGTAGCCATTCTTGCTTTTTACACACTGAAGCTTTCCTAGTGTAACATATGCAATAGATTGTTTTCCTAAATTTAAGCTAAAAAAAAAAAGCAAGTCAAGAGGGCAAAGAAATAACACCTACCATTTTTTACCACTAATCTGAGTAACATCAGAAACCTCCTCATTTGGTTACTCATCTTCTAAAATGAGTGTGTCCAGGGCTTGACTACCATCAGGTTCCTTCATGGTAGGGGACATGTTTTATTTTTCCACAATGCATAGCTGGGTGTTTTCCTCCAAAATAAATACTTTATGGATTCTTAATTGGTTGATGCCTCTGGAGGTTTCTATAAAAATCTGTAGTTGCTTCACATGCTTTATCACATTCTGCACTGATGTTTCATTGTTTATTTGTTCCTTGAGTCTGTAAGTGTTGTGAGCCCCGAATATGTGGCACACGGTGAGTGATAAAAGACAACTCTTTTGAAATAGTGGCTTTTAAATTTTAGAGTTAGGGGCTTGCTAAAAACATGGATTGCTAAACTCCATCCCAGAATTTCTGACTGATGTGGGGTGCAGCCACAGGCCTGCATCTTAAACAACATCCTGAGTGGAACTGAGGCCATTGGTCTGGAGGTCCTACTTGGAGAGCTCTCCTAACACATTATCCTGAGTAATGGAAGTACTTCTAGAACATTCTCAAAACAGTACTAGTGATGCTATCAGTGCATGGTTGAATACAGAAGGAGAACATGAAGTGTCTTGTTAACTTTTCAGTTGCTGATAAGCAGGCCCTCTTGAAGTTATTCTTCATAGGCTCCCAGTTGTAACACTGAATAGGATATGTGGGTTTTGAGAAAAATCTGAGAAAAACTAAACAGCAAACCTGTAGGCCATGAGCTGCTTCGCCTCTTAAGTCTCCTCAGTTCTGATTTCTTCATCAAGTCTTCATCTTCATTCTGTGCTTCTTCTTTAGTACATAATTCTGGTAGTAACTAGGAGATCTGAGTTGTATTTTATTCGATGGAACTGAACCTGGAGGTGAATAAATCTAATTAAAGTTACCATCGAATGTTCACACACCTTCATGCCCCAGATTGAGATACACAGAGGATTTGCCAGAGGAACATCTAAATCTGCTGCAATAATTGTCAGCTGCCTTCACAAGGTCATTCTTGGCAGAATGATGGATTCAACAGCAATGCCATTAACCTCATAATAATCACCTCTCCACTTATGAGAAGGAGTCCTGTGAGAAAGCCTATTCCAAGAACATTAGGATGAGAACATCAGAATTAAAGAGCGTGTGAAGCTGGGGGAATGTAGGAATGGAAAACTAAGCTAGACTCTGTCAGTTCTTCAAATATGTATGAGTGATGGCTGAGATTAAGCTGTGATTGACTTGTGGTGTTGTCAACAGTGATATCCTATCCAAAAGTCCACAGACCACGAGCTGCTGTTCCTTGCTTCTGTATCTTACCACTAAATGAAGGATACTTCACAGAGCTACCAGGGCAGTTACAACCTATAGAGTTAAATAATGGCCCTCTAAAAGAATACGAAAAAATGTAAAATAATTCTTCAAGAGAAGAAAAAGTGCCATGGAGAAAAAAAAATGGGATTTATTGTCAGTTATGAGTGAGTTTGAATCTTAGCTCTATTTTCTTCTACTGGGAGTCTTTATCTCCCTCATTACACTAGTGAGCAGGCTTGAACAACTTCAGAAGAGGTTCCAGTGCCCTTTTTCTTTCAAAATATCATTCTGAAAAGGAATGTAAAGAATCTCCCTGAATTTTCTTTCTTTCTCTCTTTTTTTTTTTTTTTTGCTTCTTTTTGTTTTGTTTTTGTTTTGTTTTGTTTTGTTGTTGTTGTTGCTGGTGGTGGTGGTGGTTCCCTGAATTTTCTTTCTGGTTTCTATAATCCTTTTATAACACACAAAACATAAAAAAAAAATAAACAAAAACATCAAGTTAGAGAAATCCATGATTCCATGCAATCAAGATTCCATGATGCAAACAGAATCTCATATGATGTTCAGAAAGTGGTAGCATTTGGGAGTAAAATGGGAGTGATACTCCAGGAAAGAAAAGACTAGGTGGGGGGACAAGCAGGCCTGTGAAAGGCACACAAACAGCAAGGAACAGAGCATGTTGGGGACACAGTGAATTTGTCAGTAGTAAAGTCTAGAAAATGATGTAGATTTGGTGTCCCAGCATAGTCTTTTTAATGCCAGGAATATATGTCTCCTTTGTTTGCTGGGGACAGAACCTAGAATTGAGATAGTTTATGGAAAAGGGAATTAATTATTTCATACAACTGGGAAGTCCAAGACTGATTTCAGTATGGATGGTTCTACAGTATCAGATCATGGAATTAGATTCTGTCTTTCTTCCTTTTTTGACTATGTTGTGTGTGTGTGTGTGTGGGGGGGGTCTATTTATGGGCTAGCAGTTCTCTTTTCATTTAATGTACAAGGTTATCCTTAAACAAATTCTATACCTTTTTTTCCCAGCACTTTTTATTTAAAATTTTTTTGAACTTTAATTCCAGAATAGTTACCATACAGTGTTAGATTAGTTTCAGGTGTATAATATAGTGATTTAACACTTCCATACAACACAACTTAATCACAAGTTCACTTCCTAATCCCCATCACCTATTTCCCTCCATCCCCTTACTGACCTCCTCTCTGGTCTCCATCAATCTGTTCTCTATATTTAAGAGTTTGTTTCTTGGTTTCTCTCAATCTCTCTCTCTTTTTTTCCCCCCTGTGCTTGTTTGTTTTGTTTCTTCAATTCCACATATGAGTGAAATCATATGGTATTTGTCTTTCTTTGACTTATTTCTGGTAATATAATATTCTGTAGCTCCATCCATGTCATTGCAAATGGCAAGATTTCATTCTTTCTTTAGGGCTAATATCCCATTGCATATACATGCCACATCTCTCTTGGTTATCACAGTTTTGTAGTAAGTTTGGACATTAGTGCTCACTTCAGCAGCACATATACTCAAATTGGAACAATACAGAGAAGATTAGTATGGCCCCTGTGCAAGAATGACATGAAAATTTGTAAAGCGTTCCATATTTAAAAAAAAAAAAAAGTTTGGAAGTTAGGTAGCATAAGTTCCTTAATACTGTTACTTTAAAAAAAAAAGTGTTTTGGATATTTTTGGTCTTCTGCATTGCCATATAAATTATATATTTTTTTAATTAATTAATTCTTTTAAAAAAGAGATTTAGTTATTTATTTGACAGACAGTGATCACAAGGAGGCAGAAAGGCAGACAGAGAGAGAGGAGGACGCAGACTCCCTGCTGAGCAGCGAGCCCAACGTGGAGCTGGATCCCAGGACCCTGGGACCATGACTGAGCTGAAGGCACAGGCTTTAACCCACTGAGCCACCCAGGCATCCCTGCCATATAAATTTTAGGGCCAGCTTATCAATCTCCACAAAGACTTGCTGGAATTTTGATAATGATTATACTGAAACTGTAGGTCAATTTGGGTAGGGCTGTCCTCTTAACAAACTTGAAACTTCCAATGAATGAGCATTTTCTACTTTGCTATTTATTAAGATTTCTTGAATTGCTTTTAGAGAAGTACCTGCAGGAAGCCAGTGAAATAGTTATTTGAAAGTATCCATGAAGAACACAAGTTTGTAGGCCTTGCCTATTTATTCCAGATTCAGGCTGAGTGAAGGAAAAAGTGGCTTTTTCTGGTCTTTCTAAAAACAGGTTTCAGTAAAGCAAGGAAGGAGGACCAGGGGAGACTGCCGAGTGGGGACTCTGAAGAAGGTGTTGGTAACGTTTCAGAAAAGGGTAACAGCAGATGGGATGGAATCAGAGAGTGGTGAGCATAAGCTGGAAAGCAAAGTTCCGGGATTCAGGAGTAGATTAAAATACCATTTTCTTGAACTAGTTAAGTGGTTTTCAGAGAAGAATATTGCTAAGAAGAGGTTTTCCTTCAATCCATTCCTTATGAGATTCTATTTATTTTTCATTTCCAAAAAAACAGGGGCTTTGGGGGCCAGTGTCTTTGGCATATCCCAGTAGTGTAGAAACAACTTCTGACCTCATAACACCTTAGAAAGTAAATTAAAAATTGTGAATAATAATTTTTTTGGCAACATCCAAATATAAGAGAATGGAAAGACAAATTGTTTTTATCTCAAATATAATGTATTGTACAAGAACAAGGGTTTGAAGTGACATTGGGTAGTACACTTTGGGCTGGTAGGGGATTTAAGAAATGTCATAGGGTAATGACAAATAAACCCAAGCCAGTAATAGGAGCCTGTAGAACCAATGGTTCCATGGTTTCAAACCTAGATGTGACTAGACAACATGGGAAGCTTTATTCAGCTCATGATAAATCCTGGCTTCTATGAACTTTTCTGAAATCAAAAAACTTTTCTTTATAAACGTCTAGTAAATTTGGGAACCCAAATATTGTTTTGCAATTTATTTTCTCTCTTACTCTGGAATATTTTAAAATCTTCTTTAAATAAACTTTTCTGAAGTAGAGTGACAGTTGCATGAGAATTTACTATACTATTCACATTATTCAGTCTCTCTTCTAAGGTACATATGATAAACAATATGTAAGCTTAGCATAGTTGCTGATTTTGAACCAGAAAATCATGGAAGCAAACCTGAAAAGATAGAGATTGTCAAATGAAAAAAAAAAGGCAGGTGCAAACTTTATTGCATATTATGATCTCATTGTGGTTAAAATATATATGTATGTATAGTACCATATGGTACATATGTAGGAAAATTATATAGAAAATGTGTGAAAATTATATATAACAGGGAACCTGGGTGGCTCAGTCATTAAGCAGCTGCCTTCAGCTCGGGTCATGATCCCAGGGTCCTGGGCTCCAGCCCCGTGTCCAGCTCCCTGTTCAGTGGAAAGCCTGCTTCTCCCTCTTGCACTCCCCCTGCTTGTGTTCCCTCTCTTGCATGTTTTCTCTCTCTCTGTCAAATAAATAAGTAAAAATATTTTAAAAAGAAAATTATTTATAAACATATGCATTTTATAAATGAATATAGTATATATACATGTATTTAATATCAGTCTATACAAATAGAAAAATATCTGGAAGGATATATGTTAAACTTTAATTTTTGGGTGCAGTGGACTGAATGTTTGTGTCTCCTGTGAATTCATAGGTTGAAATCTTAACCCCCAGTGTGATGCATTAGGAGGTGGGACCTTTAGGAGGTAATTAGATCATGAGGGTAGAGCCCTCACAAATAGGATTAGTGCTCTTACAAAAGGGACCTCCAGGAACTCTCTCACTTCTTTCTACCATGTGGAGACACAAGAAATCGTCCATCTGCAACCCACAAGAGAGCCCTCACCTGAATACGACCATGCTGACATCATGATATTGGACACCTCCAGGCCCCAGAACTGTGAGAAATAAATTTCTGTTGTTGATAAGCCATGCAGTCGATGGTATTTTGTTATAGCAGCTGGAGCTAAGACACTAGATATTAGGCTATAATTTCTGTCTTACTTTTCTTAATATTTTTGTCTAACTTAAAGATATATATATTTTTACAAAAATACTTTTTAAGGGGCATCTGAGTGGCTCAGTTGTTAAGCATCTGTCTTTAGCTCAGGTCATGATCCTAGGGTCCTGGGATCGGGCCCCCCATTGAGCCTTGCATCCGGGTCCCTGCTCAGCAGGAGGCCTGCTTCTCCCTCTCCCACTCCACCTGCTTGTGTTCCTTCTCTTACTGTGTCTCTCTCTGTCAAATAAAGAAACAAAATCTTAAAAAAAAACTTTTAAAAATAGTATTAATTGTACAACTAAGTATTTTTTTAAAAAAGAAATGTATGAAATAGACTGTAAAGCAAAAAGTACTATTAGGTTTTAAGGTCATTAATGATCTTAAAATTTATAATTCAAGAGAAGTTATCATAACTCCAAACTTGTAACCTGATAATATTGTTTCAAATGCACAAAGCAGAAATTGACAGAGTAGAAATGAGAAATCTATAAATGCACCATCACAGTGGGAAATTTTAACACATCTTTAGTTAATTTGTTTTTTTAAGTAATTAATTTATCAGTAGACCAAAAAATTTGAACAAATTAAAATGCCTGAGCTCATAAAACTATACAGAAACCTTCCCCTAATAGTTAGGAAATATGCATTCTTTCTCACATGTGCATTAAACATTTATGAAAATTGTCCACTGAACGCCACCATGTCTAAAAGGCAAGTCTAAACATTTCTCAGGGGTGCTATCATCTTAACCATATTCTCTAACCACAGTGCAATTAAGATAGAAAGCAGGGAACAGAATCTTGGAATCTTCAAAAAAATTGAAATTGTAAAATCTGTTATATTGAAATATCTTTCACACACCTTACACAATACCTTACAGAGGACATCTTGGAGATTTCTGAAGAGTATTTCAAGGGAAATACAGTTTCATATACTTCTATCAAAAAGAGGAAATGACAATGAGGTAAGTACACAGTTTGAGAAGGAGGAAAAAAATAGAAGAAATAAAATAAAGCAAAAACAGAAATTAATACAACAGAACTCAAATAATTAATTCCAAAGAAATAGTAAAGCTAGAAGTTGGTTCTTTTGAAGGACAAAAAATATGCACAAACTTTGGCATGATTGCTCAAGAAGAGAAAAAGCACAACAAATAAATAATACTGGAAATGAAAAAAAGGCATAATTATAGTTTTAATGGAGATCAAAACTGTAAGAGACTACTGTGAATAAGTTAACAGCTAAGTTAGATGAAATAGACATATTTCCTAGAAAAATGTTAACTAAAAAACTTATCTAAAAAATAGTAGAAAGCCTATATAGAAAGACCTATATCCATTAAGTAAACTGAGTAGTTAAAAATCTACTCTCACAGATAACACAAAACCCCATTGTTTTAGTACAGAACTGTACTAAACTTCTATGGAACAAATAAATGCATTTTTTTTAAATTGATGTATAGTTGACACAGAATGTCACATTAGTTTCAGGTGTACAACGTACTCATTCAACAGGTTTATACACTATTCTGTGCTCACCACAAGTATAGCTACCCCATCTGTTCCCTTTCATTGCTATTACAATACCATTGATTATACCCCCTATGCTGTGTCTTTCAGCTCGTGACTTATTCATTCCATAACTATAAGCCTGTACCTCCCACTCCCCTTCACCCATTTTGCCCATCCTACTACCTCCTTTCCCTCTGGCAAAAATCAGTTTGTCCTCTGTATTTATATGTCTGTTAATAATTGCATTCTTACACACTTTTCCAGAGAATTGAAGAGGAGGCAACTTTATCATTTTATGAGACTGCTATGACTTTTTCCAAATGCTGAAAATAATAATACAAGGAAGGAAAATTCCAGGCCAAGCTTAGCACTCAATAGATGCCCTAAACTTCGTCAAATACCAGTAAATCATGTCTTAAGATTCAAGCAATAAAAAAAAAAAAATTATGAAATGTGATTAGAATTTGGCTTTTTATTTATATCCAATTCAGAAATCATTGAGCACCAGTTTAGGTAATCTCTCTTCCATGAGCTACAAATGGAGTGGTAGACAGAGTTTATATGCTTCTTCCCCACAGGAACGTAATTCTCAAATTGTGTCTTGTTTTACAAATTACTTTAGAGTCACAACTGAATAGTTAATCTTTTCTTGTTTTATACTTTGTTTCTCATGGTTCCTGCAATGTATCCATATTATAAATTTCCTTTCTCATTTTTCCCTGCTGATTTGAAAGTTAACCATTTTGGTTTTTATTCTAACAGTTCTTTGTGACTTTCAGATAGATACTTGCATACACGTATCTCTATATCTATATCTACATATGTATATATATATATGTATATATATACATAAATTATCAATATATGGCTTGCAATTCCCCATGTAAAAAAAGGAAAGTAACATGACAGCATCCATCCTCCTCCCCCTACATTTTTTTATTTTTTGCTATTATCTAGATTTTATGCTTGTGCTATTATGAAATTATTTACTTTTTAAATTATGTGATCTTTATTGGGAGCTATCTTGGTGTTTTCAATATTTAAACCAATTATCTACCC